TCGTGAGTAATCCTGCGGATCGTGGCGTGGGTGTACCGCCTCACTTTTCGATCACGTGATCCGTTATCACTCCGCATTAATACATTATGACGTAATTATGATTCGCAACGTAATTATGATTCGACAACGTAATTATGATTCGACAACGTAATTATGATTCGACAACGTAATTAATTCAAAAAAAAATTTTAAGAAAATTCTTAAAAACAATGCTCATGTTCGTGGAAGATCCTCGTCAAAAGAAGTCCGTTTAAACCTTACGCTTACAAAAGTTACTGAATCTGATAAACATGATCGAACAAAACCTCGCCAAAAATATAATTATTGCGAAGAAGACTGTGTTGATTTAGTTGACCAATTAAAAGGTCATTCATTAAAATGTAAAAAAAACTTTCAAAAAATATATAAGATTTATTAAAAACTCAAAAAAACAGGATTTTGGTCTTCAAATAATTTATTCGAAAAAACTTATTACATAGTGGCAATATTGTAAATCTTGGCCTTCAATACCAACAAACGTAAAACTAGTATAGAATGAAAGGTTGTATTGGCCGACAAGCAAATTTCGCATTTAAAAAAAAAATAGCGATCGATAGCTTTGATAAAATTAAAGCGAAACAATATATTAATTTTTGTTATTTTTTAAAAAAAAATTTCTCATCTGAAAATTAAAATTAATTTATCAAAAGCAATATTTTCAGTTTCAGCAAAAAAGTTTTAGAACAATAAATAAACGTTTAAAAAACTGTTTAACCCATTTTTTTTACCATTCCTAACGATCAGTGTTCTCACTTTACGTACAGAATACACGAATTTCAATATATACGGTCACAATTCTTCAGAGCAGTGAAAACTTTAATTTGTACTACAGGTTTTCGCTTTGCTACATTTATACGTGATTCCATTACACTAGAAAACACAAAATCAATAATACTTGAATTATATTTATTTGATTTCGCATAATTTTATTAATAAAGAATTTTTGATGTCAAACTCATTCATTTTATTTTATATCAGATATTGTAATGCAAATCTCGTGTTCCTAAATTAATATCAGTCTAAGTATGTGCAGTTTTCTATCGTATCAATAGGAAACATTTTGAAAATATTAACCAACTATTTGAACGTTGGACCATAATTCTACAACACCTAACCAGGCCAGAAGGAATAAGAAAGTTGCGAAGAAAATCAGAAAATTAGTGAGAACCAAGATACTCACCAAGATCCTAATTGAAATGGTATGCGAGATTCCAAAAAAAAAAACAGCGAAAAAAATCACCCAACTTACGACCTGAAAGCAAAAGTAAAGTAAATAAAAAAATAACTAAATAAATAAATAAGTAAATAAATAAAAAACAAAAATAAAATACCTGTAGTTCTCACTCGCCGAAGATTCCAGACCAACCTGTTATAAAAAAAAAAAACGCGCACGACCTAAAGTTTTATACTGTATTACTATATTACCGATCATAACCTTCGAGGTTGTTACATACAAAACGTGTAAAATAATGTTATGAGCTCATCATATAGGATTGGATATTTCAGAGGCTGAATCCGAAAAGTAATGATAGTGAATCAATTTTTTTGTTTTCATTTTCTGTCACTCATATGATAAGAGAATAAAATGGTTAAAAATTAACAAGAATGTATGTATAAAAAGAATGAAATATAAGAGGCAATAGAAAATACTTACGTCGAGTAAAAGTTCGCATAATAACCGAATTTTCAGTTGGTCAATAAATCCTATTCCATAGGTTTTCTTCGTAACACAAAATTGAATAATAGTAATCGGTTCTACCGACATCCAAAAATCCCGAAAATACTAAAATCAGAATTTTAGTATTGTCGGGATTTTAACCTGACGGGGATTTTGGGATGCTGGGATTCTGTGGTAGAATCATAGTAAACGTAAAGAATACTGGAGTTTTAGTCCATGAACACGAGAAGAATCAACTTTCTACATCGGTCATTGCATTTTTAGCTTCTTTCGCTAATAGGTTCATAAAGCACCTTACAGAAATGGATCGTTATTTATACTTTCTTACTTCATCTGTCTCTATAAAACTCAGAATGAGATTTTAAAAAAATATTCTGAGAAAAAAAAAAACACATTCTTGCACTTCAACTGAAGGCTACCTCACCTGAAGGCTCGCCCAGCCGGTTTCGACGGCCTACACCTTTGTAGGTGGCGCCATCTAACCATTAATCCACACAAGAATGATGAATCATCTAATTTCTTAAAACTATTATACTATTATACTATACGAATGTATAAATTTACTATGTTTTATATATAAGAATGAAATCTTTTTTCCTCCTCTACAATTATAAAAATATTATATACCGATTTTCGCGTAATAACGCTCATGAGCGTTATTTCGAAAATCGTGCCCCTAAAAATAATATATATAGTTTCAAAATAACATCATGTGCGTCCCAAAATAGCGCGCACCCCATAGTAAGGAATGTTTATTTTATAGTACTATTTAAAAATACTTCGGAACTGGATTTAGTACTAAGTAAACCTTCGAACTTCAACCAAAAGTGGGTTTTCAGAACAACTTTTGTTAAAGCTCGAAGGAAGGTTACTTAGTACTAAATCTAGTATTCTTGTTTGTTTACTTTTATATAAAACTTTTTAACTGTCTCAAAATAAAGCTCATGCACGTCTCGAAATAACGCGCTATTACGCGAAAATACAGCAGTTACAAAAAAATAAAATATAAATGTCTTATCTACTAAACCAATTTTAATTATTTTTTTATATTATATATGAGCGCTGCCAAGGGAAAAGGGCTACTTTAAACTTTATTGAAATTTTTTTGATCAAAGATATCTCAACTACTTGATCAAAATTGATAATGAATTTTACAGTTTTTTAGAATTCAAATAAAAAAATTATTATCAATTTTAATCAAGTAGTTGAGATATGAGCGCTGCCAAGGGAAAAGGCCGTTCGGATTTTCAATTATATTTTGTACTGTATACAGTTAGCTGTCTATAGAAAATCTATCATAATGATAACTTTTTTTCCATAGACGGCTAACTGAACACAAAATGTAATTGAAAGTCCAAACAGCCTTATTCCCTTGGCAACACTCTCTTTGACCAAAAAATTTTAATGGTCTAAGGTAGCTCTTTTCCTTGGCAGCATCAAATAAAAAAAAAAAAGTTTCTCTACACTTTTTATTAGAAAGATAAAGTATATTAACATAATAAAAGCTATTGGAGAAAAAAAAGATTTTATAATTATAGTAATTTTAATAGTAATTTGCTGCTATGAAATACTATCCTTCTTTATCCAAACTTGTATATTTTGTGGATTTCAACTACTTTAAAATAATTTGATTCAAAATGGTTGCTTGCCCTTATCAAGCAGGTTTAATTATACAGTCGCACCCCCCTAAGTGCACGGTATATGAAAAACTTCTCTAAGTGCACACCTCTCTTGGTCCCAAATTATCCAACAATTTCAAATTTTAACTCCTCTAAATGCACATTTTGGTTTTCTTCACTATGGTCCCGAGGGTGTGCACTTAGAAGGGTGCGATTTTTTAAATGTTACCTGCTTGAAAAATTTTCTCACATTTTATACGTGTGTTTTTTTTTTTGCACAGTACTCATTATGCTGAATGTCTATAACTTGGACCTGGATTACTATCAATTCAAAAATCAGTTACTTTAATGTACAAGCCCTCTCTATCATTAATTTAGATAATTAGTCATATAGTTAACTATTTAGTCCATTAGTCAAATTTAGAACTTTGACATTTCGACAAAAAAATAATATCATGTCAAAATATATTTCGACACAAAATTGTCTTAATATTTGACTTAATAGGGTATTTCGATTGGCAAATTACCCACATCTGCAAATTTTTGAAAAAAAGAATATTTGACTCCTTCCATGCCTCCAAAGGATTTTGATAAAGTGAACAGGTTTGTGTAACGTATAAGAATCTGGTCAGGTGACGATACGGGATTTGAATAGATCGCACCAATCATTTACATCAATCATCTTCATTCTTTGGGATGGCGTTAATAAACCCTTTAATCGAAACTTTCAAATTGGGCAAAATATTACAAATTTCTGTGCATTCTGATGAAAATGATCAAAAAAATTTTGAAAGGACTTCGCACCAATGGCAGAGTTGCTTGAGCACACGTGTGGCACAGTTGATTTTGCCAAAAGCCGTTGTTGATATCGATGGCTCTTTCGAGAATGTAATTTGTAGTAATGGATTATTTCGACAAGAAACGATACTTAACATTCGGGAAAGTATGTATAAAATTTCAGGGTACCTCGACTTTATCATAGTTTACCAATGCTTACACATCTTTCACTTTATCTGTAAGATTCTTTCCCGTTTGACACTTCAGAGGCGGAAGCTTTCGATAAAGCATCGCCAAAAATCAAACTTGTCGCAAAAGAGGTTGCTCAATTTATTGATTCTAATATATCAACAACTAATGACTTTTTTGACTTATACACTAAAGAGTTGGAGTGGTGCGGTTATAATGATGTATGATATAATAAATATTTAAAGTGAATTTATCAATTGTTATTACAACAAGAAATCTTATATTCACAGATATTCGTCAAGTGCATAGATTTATATCATAAACAAGATTTTTTCACATTACTTCTTTTGGGAATTTCATCTTTAGAGAGGATATTTGGTGATGTATGTGATTATGTGATTTATTTATTTAATGGTTTAAATCAAAGGCGTATCTATAATTTTTTTTTTATAAATTAGATAATATTTTCCATTCATAATGATGCATTTATTATTCCATCTCTTATTCGTGACCTTCTTATTGCCCCACCACTTGTTCCATTGTTGGGAGAAGATATAATTTTTTTCTTACGTTGTTTAATTGGCCCTCCAAGTTCAATGAATCTGAGAAATATTCTTTGGCATGGATTTATTAGTCCTAATGAATTTTTACCTATTCCCGCTAAATGGTACTGTGCTCTCGTTATAGTAATCACTCTAACTATTTGTCAAAGAGTAAGACTTTGTGGTTTGATAGATTCATTAAAGAAAAGAGATGGTGCAAATTTTGAAGGTTTTTTTCATTTATCTCAACTTAACATTATTGCAAAAAATATCATTATTAACGATGAAATTGATAAGATTTTTGATCAAGAATATGAACGTGTTATGTTTAGTCAATGTTCGTATTTATAAAGATATTTTATTTATTTTTGGATTTAATCTTTATTTTTATTATTATTATTATTATTATTTATTATTTTTTAACATAAATTTGAACAATCAATAGCTGTGCCACCTCAATACCCTCATTTACATATATTAAAAAATTTACTTTACAAGAACTTTTTCATAATTTATCAAACACATTCAACCTGGTCTCTTGCACTTAACTTCTTATCTTATAATCAGGTAATTCTTTTTCTAATTCTTTCACTGCCCCTTTTTGAAAATTGTTTGCGTAGAATTTTTGTTTGTGTGAATGGAGTGCAAGAGCATAGGTTAGGTACTGTGGAAGTTGGTCAATATTTTTTAACCTTGGACATTATTTTGGAAGAAAAAGTTGCTTTGTTGTATTATGATCTAGAAAAAGAAACTGAGAACAAGGAACCTAAAAATCAAATTTACGAGGAGTTTGGGGGCGGTATTATGGTACGTAAATATAGTAATTTGTTTTTTTGTTATTCGTGTTAACCAATAAAATTCATAATTTATCTCACTGATATGATAATAAAAAGGATCTTATGCATGATCTTTTTGTTCATAACGCTGGTCCTAGATTAAGAGATCGCATAGCACATGGAGAGGCAAACTACCTTATCACATCCACAAAGTCTGACCCATTATATGAATATTATATTTGTCTTTTAGTTGTTTTGTGGAGTAGATATAAATCTAAAGTACTCAATGACGTGATCGATATTGATGGTTCACAATTTTTTATAAATGATGAAATAATACGAAATTATGAAAATTGGATATCCAATTATAATTCTAGATTCCACCCTATCCCCTTGCTTTTGAAGGAGAGCACTAGGTTAATAGTCATTACCTGGAATTGCTGGAAGATTGCTCATATTATAGAACAAAATGGCAGATTTACATTAGGCGATTGGTCAGAACTAATTGAAGATCGGAAAGATAGTCTATTCCAGCAGGATTTTCTCAAGGCAATTGTAAAAATGGAAAATATAACAGATGTTTTGCATATATCCCGCGAAAAGTTAAATAAAATTAAAGAAAGGAGATTCTTCAATGATAAAAAATTTTATTGGTGTCGCTTAAGTATTACAAAAGAAGATTTTAAAGTAATTAATCTAAGGCGAGTAGTGATCAAGAAGGCCATCTCTGGTATGGAGAAAGTAAGTTACTTTAATTCATTCTCAATTATACTTTTATTAAAGTATTATTAAACTTATATATAATAAAAACTTGAAAAGCTTTATGACATTCTTAGGACCCTACATTCTTCAACTTCTCTTTCTTCACGCAAACGCAAGAACATACAGAATCTCTTTACTCTTTTTCCATTAATCATGCAGCATCTATATTATTCGTTGTTTACTCTTGATTATTCTACTGAACACAAATTTATGTTAAGTATATTGATATTCGTTGAAAGGTGGTGTGGATTTTGTGTAGAAGGAAAATGGAAAAATATAAATGATGCATTTGATGAATTAATTAAACATTTGAAATAATTCATAGCTTAATTCATGTATTGCAATTTACGCTATTTGCATAAATTCTTAATTCCTAACCTTAAACAAAATTGAATTAATTGAATTGTGGATTTCCAATATTAAAACTCTAATTTAGTTTTTCTTAAGAAATTTATGAAGACTTCCATAATTGGGAATATTCTTAACCCATATATATTATTACCATCCCGTATGGTCGTTAATTTATGTAAATGAATTATTTCAATATTAAATATTTAGTAAAATCTGTAAAAATATTTACATTCGGACGTAAAGATAAATTCTTGAGTTACACGTCCTCCATCTATTTAAAATCATAAAGCAAAAATGTGTAGCTCATTTCACGGATACGATATTAAGCTACGATCTTATCCACATCATTAGAGATCATATACTCATGCAGTTTTTCAATTTTTGTTATCTTCTAAGAAACTTTGAAAGTTCATATTTTATACATCTTGTTCAATATCGAATCTCAATAACAAAGTTTCTAGTAGCATCAATTATACTTTATTGTTCTTGTTGACAAGCTAATTGCAGTCAGACCTTCCTAAATGCAACTCCTCTAAATGCATAATCTATGAAAAACCTCTCTAATTTCATGGTTCTACTCGGTCCCAACTTATATGATACTTTTAGGTTTTTACCGTATTTGCGCGTGCGCGATAATTCGAATCGTTTTGGCAAATTTGGATTACAAAAAGGAGCCCTACTTTTGTTAATGAACTTAGCTTTAAAAGTTCAATCAAATATATAATATGGTATATTTAAAGGGCGCGTTATTTTGGGACTCGCATGGGCGTTATTTTGAGTCAAAAAACAATTTCAAAAAAATGGGAATTTACACATGCGCGTTATTACGTGCAAATACGGTATATCTCTCTAAATGCAAAATTTTAAAATTTATTCATATAGATTCTTTGGCTATGCATTTAGAGAGGGTTGATTGTATATTATTTTGTATAATCACACTCCTGAAATCGATTAATACATATCGAATATATCGAATCAAAATAGCAGTACTCCAAATATCAAATTGAGCAGTTCTTGATGAATAAGACAAAAAATAAGGATCGGAATTTTCTTTCTTTTAGCTTTTAAATCGAGTCTGATTCAAAAAAATTCAGTATCAATAGACCTGGTGAAGATATTAGTATGCAACATCAGGGATGTACGCTGGTGGCATGTTCTAATATTTATTAAATTATACAATAATTCTTGAGTGCAACGGTTTATGCAATTACCAATTTTTTTGTATACCCCAAATTGCGGAATATACAGAGCCAAATCTCATAGCTAGCGATTCTAAGTTGATAATCGTCATCATCATCTTCATTTCTCTCCTCATTTGTTATATTTATTATATCCACTACAATACAAACGTCTTCCAAATCAGAATCACGTCATAATCATTATTTATTGTTATATTATGTTCAGGGTTGTCATGTTTACTATGTTTGTTCTATTGGCTTATAATTCTATTCATTTTTTTATTTTTCTATTGTAAACTTTTAGTACAGTATTAAACTTTATTAATTAATAAATATAAAAATATTTTAAATTTATTACTTTACTAATGCTCTAACAATATACAGTCAACCCTCTATACATGCACGCTCTATAATTGCACACCTTCTATAATTGCACCCATGTCTCAGTCCCAACTAATAATGACACTTATAAAATTACTCTCTATAAATGCACACTTATGGTCGGTCCCAAGAGGGATGGAATTTATTTAAATACTTAGATTAATAAATGTTTATACTCATCATTACGTATTAAATTAACGTTATTAAAATATATTCGAAATAAGTGAAAGTTTAAAAAATCTAATTTATGTTTTAAAATTCGAAATCAGAAATAAAGAAGGCGTATCCGGAAATAAAATTAGCTTATTTATTAACAATCATACTGTATTATATATTTGTCATCAAAAACCTTCGTTTAAATATTTTATAAAATTTAGATTTCAGATTTTTCAATAAACATAAACGTTATAAGTTTATGCTTTTAGATAACTTCTTTTAACAAGTTATTTGGGAGATATGTTAATTTATTAGATTATTAATGATATAAATAAATGGGGGGTGAGTCAATAGAAATCAAGCAAATTTTTTATAATAAAAATTTTTTATAACTTTAAACGAGAATAACTTAATGAAACCTTGACCAAATTTAATAAATTTTTTTTTTAAATAATTTTTTATAAATTTGTAGAATTAATTTAAAAAAAAAACTATTGAATTTGATTAAGTTTTTGTTAAGTTATCCTTGTTTAAAGTTTTTAAAAAACTTATTAAAAAATATTTGCTTGGTTTCTATTGACTCAACCCAAATATATATTCGGATTAAAAATATTATATATCAATTGTAAAAAAATGCTAGTAATAAACTTCTCGAATGCAACCAGATATCCGATTATCCACAGAATACCACTCGAATAACCCGACTCGGGTATATCGCTAAAAGGTTTCATGGATATTGCATCCTTCAAAGTATTTGCGATTGGAGGATCTATTAAAACTAAATATCTCCACATGATCGTCACTTTTTACACCAGAATTGAATGCTTGTATAAATAATTATGTGGCATATGATTTCGAAACGAATGTCTACCTTACCGTATTTAATTGATGAAATTCTTAGAATTAAAAAGTATCGAAACCGCTGTTTACAGCTGTTCTCATAAATTCTGGGACAATGATAAAAATTGCCCGATGATCATTCTGCCAAATTCGATAAGTTTTTGAATTCGGCCGAAACAATTTTTATCATTGTCCCAGAATTTATGAGAACAGCTGTAAAGTACCTAATTTTATATTCTACACGTTATCGAGGAATACACTATGTAAGCTTTGTAACGATTTGTTAAAGAGCTACTCACACCGAGTGTACGAAAAGCACTCGTTTTTGTTACCACTATTTTTTATGAGGTAAAAGTCCCTATATGGGTTAATATTAAACATATAACACTTTTAATGATCAATTAGAGCTACTACCCGGGTCGGTTGACCCGTACGGGTCACGGGTCGAAAATTGCTCTAACCCGGGTCAAACGGGTCAGAATTTAAATAAAATAGGCAAAACCCTACTAAAGCACTATATTACATAATTTACTATAAATAAGGTATATAGAAGACATTGTAGTTTACTAATAAAAAAAAATTTGATCAAATTTAATCAGGCGCCTATAAAAAAAAAGTTGCGGTCAAATTTTTTTTTAAATTTTTAATGAATATTTTCTGATAATCAGCAATCCAAATTCGATCAATTTTTTTATTTTAATTCTAGAATTCATAGCATTAAAATAAAAAATTTTTCATCAAATTCGATTAGCAGGTTGCCGAGAAATCTTCGTTTAAAGTTCAAAGAAAGAAAAATTTACCTGATTTCAGTTTTTTTTTCAAAGATATTTTAAATTCTTTAAAACTTTTAGAGATGAATTAACTTTTTTATTTCAATCCTACTAAACTATATAATTAAAATAAAAAAAAATTTACCGAATTTGATCAAGCAGGTATTGAGAAACATTCGCTAGAAGGTTTAAAAAGACTCCGTTTAGAATGACATATCACATGATTATCCGATGATTATCAAAAAAGGTTTATACCACTCGAAATTTCCCAAAGAATAACCCCATAAGTATAAGATATTGGTCATGCATCGACAAATAACGTGAAATTTGTTCAACCGGGCAAATGATTGGCTGACACGTGCCG